GATTGGTCATGTTTTACGCAGAAACTGCCTTCTAAAAGAAGTTATCGAAAGAAAGATAGAGGGGCGGATAGAAGTGACAAGACGAGGAAGAAGACGTAAGAAGATTATGGATGACCTTGTGGACAGAAGAGGATACTGTCATTTGAAGGAGAAAGCTCTAGATCGCATTAAGTGGAGGAAGTGTTTTGGAAGAGACTGTGGACCTGTCGTCTTGATAGATTACTGATGATGATGATGATATACAGTACATCACTTGTAGTTTGCTGGGAGTTCATCTTTGCACAGTACACATTTTGCTGGAGTGTTATTGGGTTTTATACAAGTTTTTGTTTCATGGGGTCCTCCGCATTTTACGCAGTTATAGGGTTTCCTGCAGTGTGTTTTACTATGGCCATAGTCTTGGCAATGTGTACACTGTACAACACTTATTTTAGTTTTCGGTGGTTCAACTTTAATTCTGATTCATTCATTCATCCCACTTTTGGTGGGACTTAAAGCTTCTGACCTTGAAACAACATGGTGTTTCTCTCTCTCACACACACACTGTATGTGTGTCTTGCTGTGCTGACAGCAAGTTAGGCACAAATATACTACACTTTAAAAACACAAAAGTTCTAGACTCTTAAAACTTTGCATCCATTTCAGTATATAATGTGGTGTATAGACCTGTTACTAGTTTGTGACCCTAGAAACAGTGGCCATTGCTATGCAACGTCTACAATAGAACTGGGTCATGCAGCCCAGTTATCTTGAAGACAACTAGCCATACAGTGCAGTTGAGGGTTCAGTTGTGGACTGTTAATCAGCAGGCAATGGAAGCTGAAGAATCTCCATTGCTAAGATTTGTTACCAGGAAACACCTAGCAAGAACACTGCAGAGGAACAGCCACAGTGGAGAGCGGTTACCAAGTAAAGACTATAGAAAGTAGACTGAGGAGACCTAGTTTGGGGTGATTTGTAGTGTGGAAATCAGCAGTAGTGTTATAGATATTGTAGTTACGCCCTGTAAGTGGTCAGTAAATCTGTTCACCAGTCCAAACCCCACCTAATAGTCACTAACAACTAACACATGTGACACTACAGTATTACCAGAGATAGAACTAGAGGGACATGTTAATGATGATAATTTAGGTGACATAATGTAAAGCAGTTTCAAGTGCAGTATGAGTATCACTTCAGTCCATTTCTCATGTGAGACTTGAGGTTCTCACATGCTGGCTGAAGGTTGCTGTGTTTTGGGGTGTAATCCTGTGTCCTCTCCATTTGCATTTGGAAAAGTGTGTGTGTATGCTAAATTCATATATTTCTTTTTTATAAATAAATACATCGTTTAAAAATATTTTTAAGTAGGTATATACCATTCTTGAGAAAAATAAATATAAATAAAAAGCTCATACTGTCATGACCATGTTCTCCACTCCAACTTCTATAGCACCATCAAATGTTACAGTGCGGTGGATGTTGGGGTTTCATGAAACAGAAGAATACAATGTATTGTAATGCAGGTTCTCTTATGTGCATTATCTCCCAGCATGAAATGACATTTGAGGCTCTCGGGATGTCGCTATATTTTGGTGGAAAGGTACAAAGATTCTGGGGAACCTGCTGTCTCCATCTTCAGGGAGACTACCCAGAACATCACACCCCATAAGACAGTAAGCTACATATTCAATGAATGGTTTGAAACTGGATCAACAATTTTAAGTATGCCTTCAATATGATGACTGTCACATTGAATATGCCTATAAGCACATTTTAGGGCTGCTTTACATTGCTGTGTGTTTCAGACTACTTTATACTGGGTCATATTCTATACATATACCACATATTAGAACAGCTATTATCAATCTACTGTATTTTGTACACAAATATCCATTTTGTAAAAATACTAATCCCACCACAAGAAAAACAAAGCTAATTTCCAATCTACATTTTAGTATGGATATTCTGAAATTACAGTTTTATTGAATATGCAGATTATGCACTTGAAAAGTTCTGAAAAGACAGTTTGATACAACAAGTGTTATTATAACATAATGGCGGTACCACTTTTGGC